ATGTCTGGAGCACTTCCCCATGGTTTTCCCGAAGCTTTCTGGAAGAGGAGAGCACGAGGAAAGGCTTTCTGGAGCTGTCTTCCTGTCCTCACCCCACCTGCTCTCACTGAGGCCCTCCTTTCCTGGACTTTTGTGCACATGGCTTTGGTGGGAGAGTCAGAAGTTTACATGAGAAAGAGACGCCTAGGAGGCTCAGCGTGTGGAGTCTCCACTCTTCTCAGTTCCACAGGACACTTACTGTGCAGCGCAGAAGTCGGGTGGCTTCTATACAACAGCATGACATCTCCCCATCCTCGAGGACTGGACTTTAGCTCCAGGAGCAGCAGAGTGGAGAGCCCATTATTTCCTTCTTCTCTCCCTCTTTTCTTTCCTTTTTTCCTTCTTCCTGCCCTTCCCTACCTCCTCATCTTTTCCCTCCTTCATCCTTTCCCTTTCTCCTATTTCCTTTCTGGGTGTTTGCGTGGGGTAGGGTGCATAGTGACAGGAGCATTTTTCTAGGCTTCTGGCTAGGGAAAAAGGAAGTGGTGAAACATGCTCCTTGCATGGGGAAGTGATCCTCCTGCACACTGGGAGAAATGGCCTTGGCAGGGACAGGATGGGAGAGACAAAAAGTTGATTGTTCAGTGAAATTTAGTGAACACTGCTAGGAGTCCAGTCCCCTGCTCAGAAGGCCACAGGCAAATGGGGTGGAGGGGAGTGATCGATTCAGCATCAGGGAACAGTCGGACACCATGAGGATGTGAAGTGCAGAGAGACAAATGCCCAGGCTACCTGGAAAGATGGTGAGCAGAGATGGAGGAAGTTCCTGGCTGCCAGCATGGGCGAGGAGAGGTGAACAAGCCAGGCTGACCTGCCAGCGTGGCCCTGGGAAGGGATGTGGAAGAGTGTGGTGAGACAGATTCCCTGGGGTAGGATCAGAAGTGTGCAGCAGAATCCGGGCATGTACCACAAGTCTGGCCTTTTACCAACACACATCTGCATACCAAAGTGCAATAGCCATGGGAGGAAATCTTTGGGAAGGAGCTCTTGGAGGATATAATTTAGGTGTGTACTAGTCAACTGTCACTGTGACAAACACAGGACAAAATCATTTAGAAGGGGAGAATTTATTTTGGCTGACAGCTCTTTCAGTCCATGGCCAGCTGATTTGGTTGTGTTTGGGGCCTGTGGTGAGGCAGCACATGATGTAGGGTGCTTGGCAGAGCAAGGTTACTCACCTAATAGGACCTGGGACGCAAAGAGGGAGGGAGGAGCCAGGGTCCCAGCATTCCTTTCAATGTCCCGCCCCCACTGACCTCACTTCCTCCCATGAGGCCCCACCCATAAAGGTTCCATCATCTCTGCATGGCACCACAGGCTGGCACTCAAGCTGTTAGCACATGGCCTTTGGGGGACAGTTAAGATCCAAACCGTAATAGAGTGGGATTTGCCTTTTCCTCATTGTGTATGACAAGCCAGTTACTCAGGCAGGGAACCTTAGGGGCTTATGACGTATTATAATGGACCCTAAGAGACAGGTTCTATTGTGTACAAATCAAGGGACATGGTCCTCAGCATTTGTAGGCCAGGTTGTTCAGCCTGAACTCTGCACTGTGTGGTGTAGTCTGCTCAGTGACTTTGTTCAGAACAGTCTGGCTTCCCAATTGGAGCTGACCTGATGGAGGCTTTGGAGTAAGATCCAGGCTTACGTCTTGGCTTTGTTGTTTTTTGTTGTATAACCCTCGGCTGCTCTGCAAGACTTTTTTCTCAGCCACAGAAGGGAAATAATGAAGCCAGCATCTGTTGGGAAGAAAGACTTGCCATCTCTCTTTCCCACAGTGGCCACACCTCAACTGGGCACCGCTGCATGTGGAAGGGACACTTTCTCCATGCCAGAATCTGCTGCCCAATGGCAAGAGGCTCAGCCTTCCTGATGCCTGGCTGCTCGTCCCTAGTAATGGCTCCCCAAACTCTGCTGCCCATTTTCACAGCCTTCAGGAGGCCAAGGAGCACATCCAGCTCAGCTGGGTCAATTCAGAGTGCATTTTTGAGTGCCAGCTGTGCGCTAGGAAGTGAGCTGGGTTTGGGGGGAGTGATATGTGTGGTGGAAGAAGCAAAAGGCCGAGCGGCAGGCTTCTGTCCCAGGTCTCAATGAGTCATTCAGATACCCATGTGAAGGCTATGCCCGTGTTTCTGAAGTTCTTATAACTGAGGACAGAATATGCTGGGGGGACAGAGAAGATCCTATAGGAGATCTGAGGGGAGAAAGATTATATGCAGTTTGGAGGTCCAGGGAGGCCAGCTCAGAAGAAGTGGCATTTGAAAAAGCAGGGTAAGAGTTAGGCTTGGGAAGGCAATAAGAACCATTAATCAGAATCTGACTGAGTGCCAGGCATTGTGCCCAGCTCTGTGTACTCATCCCTTGTGAGTCTCACAAAGCCCCGTGAGGAGATTGAGTGACTTTCCCAGAAGCACAGTGAGTTACTGGGTGACTCAGTTCTATGACTGCATAGCAAACCACCCGAAAACTCTCTGGGTCAAGATCATAAGGAGTTGTTATTGTTCATCAGACTGGGGGTCAGCTTAGAACTGGCCGACTCAGTATGGTCTTGGAGGCAAGTGGACTCCCACATACACTCCACCCGCCTGCATGGGGCCCAGGCTTCCACACATGGGAGAGGTCAGGTTTGTTCAGAGTTATGCAAGGCCCTTGTGGTGGAGAATGCTGTACTTCTACCATATCCTGGACGGCAATGCAAGTTACAAGGCGGGCCCAGCTTGGAGGGAAGGGCATGTAGACTTCCCCTCGGAGTGGGAGTAGCTGCAAACCGCAGTGCAAAGGGCACCACGGCCAGAAGCTGTGCAGGCTGCTCTAGACAGACAGCAGCGAGGCACAACCCTGCACCGTGGAGCTAGAGCAGGCTTGGAGCTCTGGTCTGCTTGGCTCCGAGCTCTGTTTGTTCTAACAGGACTCACTTCCTTCAGGCAGTAGACGGAAGTTTAGGACAAAGAGAGGAGCATGAACACAGGGAAGGAAGCAAAGCAGCTGAGATGTGTGGGAAGCACCACCTGGCTTATGGGGGAGGGGATAAAAGGCAGTAAGCTGGGAATAAGGTGACAGAGCTGGTTTGATCAGTCCTTGGAGGTCTTGGAGATAGAGCTAAGCTACCTGGATTTATCCTGCATGTAAAAAGTCACACGATTCTTTTTTTTTTTTATTGGTACCGGGAATCAAACTCAGAACCGCCTGCTTGCAAGGCAGGTGGTTATGCCGCTGAGCTAAATCCCCAGCCCCAGTCACACAATTCTTTAAAAGTCACAATTATTGTAGCATAACTTATAATAAGATACATCCTTTTTAGCTACACATTCTGTAAGTTTTGAAAAATGCATACAGTAATGCAGCCCTCAAAAGCAAGAAAAATCTCCTTGTTTTGAATGCAGTCACCTCATTCCTCTCCCAACCCCTGAATCTACTGATGTGACTGCCACCTCCGAGTCTCACCTTACCTGAGAGTCATATAAATAGGATCATCCATATGTAGGAATCTTTTATTTTGCACAATGCTCTTGAGAGTCACCCATGTCATTGTGTGTCAGGACTTTGCCCTTACAGTGCTGTGTGTATCCCCTAGAATGGCTATGCCACAATTTGTTTATATCTGTTTTTGAGGTGCATGTTCCCAGTTTGGGCAGTTTTTAAATAAGCTTCTACGAATAAGCATTTAAAGATCTTTATTCAGATACGTTTTCATTTCTCTTTGGTGAGTAGGAGTAGGATCTCTAGGTCTCCTGGTAAGCCTCTGGGTGCTCTATAAGAAACTGCTTGCTTTGAAGTGACTCAGTGCTGTGAGGGCTCCAACTGCTCTGTATCCTTCTCAGTTCTTCGTGTTGCTAGGGCTTTCTTCCCTATAACCCATGCTTCTATAATAGCATATTTCATTAGGATTTGAATGTGTATTTCTCCATGACAAGATGCTGGACATCTTTTCATGTGCTTCCCATATTCCTTGTTTGTTGAAGTGTTTCCAAACATTCTACACCTAAAAAACTAATGGATTGCTTGTTCTGAGAGTTCTTTGGATATTCTAGGTATAAGTCCTTTGTCAGAAATGTGTTTTGCAAATGTTTTTTTTTTTTTTGATCAGAAAGATTTTAATGGGAAGTAGTGTTTGTGTTTTTAAAAACTTGCTCTGTGGCATTGTTGGGTGGGATAATGGAGTTAGGAGGGTTAGAGACAAAGAGGCCATATTTAAGGTCCAGATGAGAGGTGAGAGGAGACCTTGGGAAAAAGGGAAGAGCCATGGAGACCCAGTGAATGGCAACAGAGGCCCCTTTTACCTATGGACTCTCCATCGCATCTTCTTACTTTCCTTCCTATGACAAATACTTGTGGGTCACCTGCCAAGCACCAGGTCATGATCTAAGCATGGGGCAAATACCAAGGAAGAGCCCAAGCGCTGTCTTCATGGTGGAGAAGACAGGCAGCAAATGAAGGCATAAAGTGTGTATCATAACGGCTGCTGGATCCTGTGGAGTGCTGCCTTCTGATGGCTCCGGGGACAGGGACCACAGAGTCCTCAGAGTTCTATTCCTAACAATGAGAGGAAGATGGGACTGAGGTCAGGTGTCCTGGGCCTGGATTCTGGCCCTGATGCTGACCTTCAGGGTGACTCCAAGAGCATGCCTGCCTCTGTCTGGCCCTTGGTTTCCTTCCCAAGCCTGGGCTGTATGATCTTTCAGACATTACGATTTTTAATTGAAATTCTTACATACCAATCTGAGGGTTCCGATGGAACTGAAATAGGCACAAAGTAGCAAGATCTCCTCCTTAGAATTAGATCTTTTTGTTCGAAAAGTTCTGGAGGTCACCAATTTTGCCCTCTCATCTGGTGTAGGACCCTGGGAAGTACAACCAGTGGGTGCCGATTCATCCCCTGTGGTGCCCCCATCCTTGGGATGGGGAGCTCACTCCTTCCCAAAGGATCACACTCATGTTTTCTTTTTCTGTCTTTTTAAAGGGAAAGGATTACACCTGTTACGAAGGGGAAGTGCCTTCCAACTGTGGATTATAATTCAGATTACACTCCTTAGAGCTTCATGGCAAGAACAACCTGTGACCCAAAGCCCAAAGACAAATGTGGTGGGAGCTTGGGAGTGGGATTCTTGGGGATGGATGTTTGATGCCTGGAAAGGGAGGAGATGTGAAGGGGTCACCTTGGCTGGAGTCATAGACTAGAGGTTACAGTGTTTGTTGGGACAGCTAGGGATGTATGAATTTTGTTACAAGAGATCAGTTGTCCTGAGAATTCCAATTAGCCAGTGACATGAGTGTGGGAGCACCGACAGCAGGTGGACCCACATATTGGAATATGAGTGTCCCCAAAATCCTTCCTACCATAAAGCCAGAGTGCTGGGTAACCTCTCATTAAAGTCCAAAAGGCAGTGGGAGAGTGCAGCCTATGTCATATATAGCCCGGGACCCCTCCCTGAACACCCCAGCTCCTCCTCATGCTCTCTGGAGACTCAGCGGACCCCAGCCTAAGAGGACATGCTGACATCCCTGTTGTGTCCAGTCGTTGGAAACAACTGGTAGCTCTGCCTCCAGAGCCCAGTGTGGCCCAAAGGTGGGCCTGGGGAGGTTGGGGAGCACATCTGGTTTCTTTCATCAGTGCTTCTCATCAGCAAGAGATTGGGTGGGAGGGGCAGTGAGCTGTCCCTAGAGAGGAAGAGACTGGGACCTCACAGTTTCAATCACAAAACTTGTAAAATAATAAAAAAATACTTCAACCACTTTTTTCCGAGTGTCTTTTTGTTTTTTGTTTTTTGGTCTTTTAGAGACAGGGTCTCACTGTGTAGCCCCTCCACTCACAGCAATCCTCCTGCCTTAGTGTTCAGAGTGATGAGATTACAGGTGCAAACCACCATGCCTGCTGAGTGTATCTATCTTTCTCACTTGTGTCAAAACAATTATTTTAGACAAAAGTAAAACCATCAATGAATCATCTACATAAAAAAAGAAAGATAAAGCCAGACATCGTGGTGCATGCCACTAATCCCAGCACTTGGAAGGCCAAGGCAGATCACTAAGAGTTTAGCAAGGTTATGGGAAAGATCCAAACAGCGTTGATTTCCGCACACAATCAAAAATTGGAAATTCAAAGTATCATTTATTATAGCATCAAAATACTATGGAACACTGCTAAGCATGGTGGCGCGTGTCTGTAATCCCAGCATTTAGGAGGCTGAGTATGAGGCTAGCCTGGGCTACTTAATAAGCTCAGGGCCAGCCTGAACTACATAGTGACGTCCTGTCTCACAAAACCAAAAATCAAAACAAAACATAAAAATGTATGAAATACTGAGGTATAAATTTGAAGGTGATAAAACACTACTGAGACAGTAAAGAAGACAGCAAGGGGAAATACACCAGGTTTATGAGTCGAAAGACTTATTGTGTTAAACTGTCAGTTCTCCCCAGATTGATCTATAGATTCAATCCAAGTCCAATAAAAAGCCCTGTGATTCTGTGTAAAAGCTGACAGAGTGGGCCTAGAGATGTAACTCAGTGGCAGGACACTTACCTCACATATGAAGGTCCTGGGCTTAAGTTTTTTTTTTTTTTACTCTTTGTCTTTGTCCCCCTTCATGGTCCATAGCTCCTAAGACCCCTGGAATTTCCAGAGGTGTGCTAATTAGCTACCAGGTGGCTGGAGGCCCCTAGGTAGCTTTAAGATGAGGAGTGGTCACCGGAAAGACCTAAGCCAGTTTAAACAGTTGGTACTGCCAGACCCACCACCAAGAGTTGGGGGATGAGGCTGAAGGTTGACACAGTCATGCTCAGGACTGATGGGGGAGTCCTCAGATGCTGAACATGTGTCAGTACACCCAGAAAGGGCATTGGAGCCCTCTTTCTCACATGCCAGCCCGAGGCCAGTCACAGCTAACCTAACTGTGCAGTCAGTTATGTCTCCCTCAGCAAGCAATTATCGTTTGAGAGAAAAATAATAGTTAAATGTAAAGTAGGATGCTGGATAGGACTCTGGAATAGGAAAGGAATGATGATGTTAAAACTGCTGGAATTCAGATAAGGCCTGGAGGTTAATGTTATACAATGTGGATTTGCTGATTTTGATCATTTTGCTGTAATCATGTAGATGTGGATGAAGTTGGATGAGGGAGATATGGGAATTTTCTGTGCTATCTTTGCAATTTTCTTGTAAATCTAAAATTAACTAAAAATAGAGAGCTGAAAGAATTATATGCAGTTCTGGGACTGGGAGGATCCAAGAAACCAACCAGCCAGACTTTATGGTACACTGTGCAAGCCACACAGCTTCCAGGAAGAAAAAAGTCAGTGTCTCCCATGAACCTACTGGCAAGTGGGCTGAGAATCAAGACCCCACCCTCTCATAAGCAACTCACTAGTCTGGAGGACAGGCTGAGTTGATAGCAACTAAGGTACATAAAGCAACCAAATGCTTGTATTGTTTGGTTCATTCTGCAGACCTGGGGCCAGTGGTCTGAGCATCTTTTGGGAGGATGACAGGATGCAATATAGAAAATATAAGGGATTTTCTTCTATCTTGTCTTTGAAATCCAATATTGTTCTTACTGTTTTGCTTTATTCAATATTCTGTTTTGATTGGTTTCATTCTATATTGTTTTTAGTTTGATTTTGCTATTCCTCATGGAATGACCAATTATTGTGAAGATAACATGATATACTATGGTAGCTATTGCTGTTTTCCTAGTATCCTGCTTTGAAGTTCTGTATCAATTTTGGTGCTTTGTTTTGATTGGCTTAGTTCTGTTTTGTTTGGTTGGACTTTACTATCTTTAAAATACAAAAATTATATATGCAATAAAACTTTTAAAAAGATTGCTTAGTGAATGATTACTGTAACACATGACACGAGAGGCTGAGACCATCAAGCTTTTATAAAGGCAACATGGTGTAGAATTTATTATGCCTGAGTGCAGGTAGACAGGGCAAAAAGGCAAAGAGGTGTGCAGCTTCTATAGGAATGGAAAGAAGGCAGGGGACATTAGGTAGGGAATTTTTATTTTATTTTATTATTTTAAAGAGAATAAAACAATACAGCAAAATAACAAAACAAACAAAAAACCACTGAGAAAACAACATTGGATTTCAAAAATGAAACAAATCAACAATAGTTCATGTACTGTGCATTGTTATTCTCCAAATAAGTTGCACAGACTACTAGATACAGGCATGCAAAGTTAGTCAAATAATGTAAGCCCTAAGTTGTTTCTTTAATTCAGCTGCCATCATTTGAGAAGTTTCAGGTGTGTGTGACTCCCAGTTTCTTCTGTGTTTGTGTCTCCTGGACTTGATCTGGGTCGGGCTCACCTGGGAGTGTGGCTTTCCTTGGGCCTGTGGTGGCAGTTCTGGTTTTCCTGTTTTTGCTGGATTCCTTGATTATCTCTCTCCATGGGCCTCAAGTTTCACTTCAGACCCTTCCTGAGTCCAGGGGACCCACTTTAGTCCTTCTCTTCCTTGTGTTGCTAAATGTCAGTGTCTAGACACCAAATCTTGGGGAGGCTTTTTGTCTGCTGATCACCACTCTGCCATCTTCCTGGAAGTCTGGGAAGATTTTAATAAACATCTGTGCTCCAAGTTCTCTGGCAGTCTTGCCCCTCAGTGGGCAAAGTCCTGAAAGGTCCAGTGTAAATTTTTGAGTGTATCCAGATGTCTCAGGACCTGCAACATTCCTTGTCCTATCTTATCTTCCTTAGGAATCCCTGTGCTTATGATGATGGTCTCAGCTGAGTTCCCTGTAGAGACTAGTGTCTTTGCTGGGCTGGGAGAATCAGGTATGATCTGAACCTTACAATTATATTTTTACAAACCTATCTGTCAGTTCTCTTTTACTGATGTCATATGAGAGGATCAGCAGATCTGCAGTGTCTGCTTCTGTATAAGAAAAACGTATGCAGCCACCTTACCTTGGGTGGTTCTTTCAAGAACCTTTCCCAGTGGTACCAATGAGACTGTGTTGTGAAGCCCCGTGTGGGATAACACAAGGTTATCAGGGAACAGGGCTGGCTTCACCTGCCCACAGAGGCCTGGAAGTACCAGAGAGGTCATGCCCCTCAATTCTTGGGAGCTGATGTATAAAATACCCAACCCCCGTGGCCCGTTTGGGGGACAACTTGGAAGTGTGGTTTACCCTGGCTTCCAAAGTTTCCCCAGCGCACTTAACCTCCAGTCTCCCATGGCAGGAAGAAAATACCCAGTAAGGCTGTCAGCCTTCCCTGCTTCCCTTCTGACGTTTTCTTCACCTGCTGGGGCTGGTCAGAAGCCCAGAGGGGGAGCCACAGGGAATAAAAAAAGACAAAAGAGAGTATCTTCTTGGTATTGTAAGGACAGAAAGTTTTTTCCCTAGTGTCTGATTCTCTGCTCTCTCAGTACTGCCCATCTTTATTAGCAAGAAGTGAGGCCTGTGTGTGTGTGTGTGTGTGTGTGTGTGTGCCCATAAGTGTGTGTAATGAACTTTTCCTTGAACAGTGGCTGTTGAAGGAATGGGGTAATAAAATGGGAATCAAGTTTAGCATTTCAAAGAGAACAAGATAAAGTCCTTTTTCTGGATATCTGCATTCCATACACACAGATACCATCTTTTCTTCAGAGACTGTGAATGTAAGCTCTCCCAACACAGCCAGAGGGCATGCAGCTATTTACAAATTCTCCTGTTCCTTGAGGCAAGCTACACTGGCCTCAGACCATGGGACCACAGTCATGCAGCCTGGTCCCTCACATAGTAAAATATTATTTCATATCCTCGGGCCCCCAACATTCACTCCAAAACAGATAACTTACTCTGAAATCCTTACTTCAGAATTCACTTCTAGGGAAACCCAAACTCAGACAAACACTAATATATCTGTCTGCATCCCAGTGGATCACCTTGTCACAACTCTGTTTCAGATACCTGATTTTGGGGACCCTTGCCTTCCTCCCCAACTAGAATTCTACCTTTCAGTCCAGCTTGGCTTTGTGTGGCTCCATTGCTCAGGCAGTGGCTTCCATTGCTCAGAGCAGTTACGATCCTAAAAATATGATTATAGAAAATGTCCTTTGGAAGTTGAGCTAAAATTTGGCCCATTGTGACCTTTGTCCTTTGACCCAGGCAGGGTCATAAAAGGACATGGAAATCTGAAGTTGGTTGACTGGTCCCTGCTAAGGTCTCCAGTAGCCCCTGGGAAGGAAGCCACCGACACGGGTCTTGAGGGCTGGACTCCAGGCTTTTCCTTGCTGGAATCAAGCAGCTTAATGTAGGCTATATATGAGACATTTTCAGTTCATATTATTATAGATAGCTAAGTAATTTAGAAATATTGTAAGCATTCAGATAGGGTTAGGCCCTTGGGGGAGTCAGAGCAGAAGGTATCTTGGTTACTTTTATGTCATTGTTGAGACAAAATAACCAACACCCAAAGTTAAGGAAGGAAAGTTTTATTAAGCTTGCAGTTTGTAGAGGCTGCAGCCCATAATCAGTTAGCTCCAAGGTAGGGTGGTGTGGCAGAGAGGCAACTGTTAATGCAGGCAGAAGACAACAAGAGCAACAAGAGCAAAAGGGGAGAATGAGAGAGGAGCCTGTTCTCCTCCTGTATACTGCATGCAGGCTGCCCATCCTAGGGGGGGTATAGCACTCACACACATGAGCCCGGCACTAGACAATGCATCAGTCACAGACTCAGATTCAGCTGCCTCAGAACAGCACCTCCCCATGGCTGCATGGGGCTGTGGGGAGATCTCCAGACACAAACC